TCTATATTACTTCTTATAAGTTTCTTATATCAAACCCTTACAACGCACAAGATCTAGTCTAGTTTTATTACAATAACTAACTTTTATTAAATTAACTTTTAACAATAAACTTTTAGCGAATAGAAAACCAAATTGGGCTTTAGTTTATGTTTGGGTTTCCAAAGTAAGTTGTTGAATTGGCTATCATATGGATGCATATAGACTCGTAGCATTTGCACTATATTATAGAAATCTAAGTCAACCCTCCTGATTGAATTATTAAACTATTAAACCCTAGTGTTTTGACTAGTATAATAAAATTATTTGTTTATAACTAGTTTGATCATATTATAACTATATTTTTGACCATTAACTCTTGAATTAGTGTCTTGACTTGTCTAATTTTTAATACATTGATTTGCAAACATCCATTGATAATTTTTTTACTATATGTTGACTAGTTTTACATAGACATGCAGATGACGTAATGCCATGTGTGCTTCTTGTGTGTGCATTAATAGTCATATTGGGGTGTTTGACCTTAGTTAGATTTAACCCAGTACCATAAGGCCATATAATTTTCTAATATTGGTGACACCATCACAATGAGAAAAATGTTTGAAACCACATATGGATTTATTTGATTTCATGTTAATGCTATATTACACCCATTTTGACATTCCAATGGTCTTAGTTAAGAATTTATTCCTTTAGTTAGTCAAATTATTGTCCCATCTTATTGTTCACCATTTTTTATGTATGTATATTAGATCAAACAAAAGAAGGCAATCACAGTTGACTTTTCCCAATCTCAAGTAGAAATATTAGGGTTGTAGCTATCTAAATAATTAACATGAATAGGAAAGAACAAAAAAAAAGAAATTAAATTATTTTAGATAATATTCGATTGATCTGAATTTGAATTTTAGATTTAAAAATTGCATTTCAAATCTCAAATTTAAAATTTGTGTATTTAAAATTAATTGTTTAATAGATAGTTTACAAAATTTCTAATAAAAAGATAATGAGTTGAGATTTGAAATGAAAGTGTTAAATCAAGAATCACGAGCTTATTTCTATTTTTGAATTGACAAGGACAAGAATAAGATGAGAAAAATACAAGAGTCACAAAAGTATTAATAGTGAAAATATGAAAAGAACATGATGTTTGAAATCACTGAAATTTTAAATGATTAAAGTGCAGAATAAATTTGAAATTACAATATAATTGTAATAATGAATGGATTTAGTGAAATATCTCTCTTACCTAATCACATTAAACACTTAAGTCTAAGGTAATCTTTAGATTAACCCAAATTAGATTATCAAATTTATAATTTGTAGAAATGAGATCTCAAGTTTTTATAATTTAAAATAAATCAAAATTATTTATTAAATTTTTAATCATAGTAAAATAATGTTTTTGAAAGTATGAGATACTTTAGAGGAGTGAAAAGATTCAAAACAATTAAAAAAAATTAAGGAATGCAAAATAGAGAAATGAGCCACAACATATGCGCATCCACCGCAATGGTTTGTTTTTTGTGCCATGCACCATAGCATGTTGCACGTTTTCAAACAGCATTAAATGACAGCAAATTCAAGCAACTTCTAACAACCATATTTCTCCATTTGATATTCAAATAAGGTGCTCTTGGTGTTTACGAAAAGCTCTTTTTATAGGCTAATCAATGGCACAGGCTTTACTTTCAAATTAAATTACACAAGAAAGTTGGATACTCAAACATATTTTTATATATTTTCTCACTTTTTACAAATCAAGGGTGTTCAAAATCCTACACATGTGCCAAAAAAAATTCCTTACACATAGAAACACTCAATGGACTTTAGAACTACCTATACAATACATCACACGCACATAATCTCAACCATATTAAATTTTTATTCCTCAGCCCCTTTAATATCAAAAAAAAAGAGGGGGAGGTTTTAGCATCATATTTTACAATCAACATCCACAATTAAAATAAAATAAAAAACCCTTCATTTGCACTAGTATTTTGGTACTATTAAATACTTAAACAACTTACAAACAACATTTCAGAGCCCAAAATACATTCCAAAAATCATAAACATTAATAAGTACAAGTATATGTAAAATATAATCTAATTGGCAATATATCAAATACTACACAAAACTAATTGGATTTAAAATGCTATATAGTAGGAATCCTATATTTCTAAGTCTTGGGAGCCTTTTCCTTATTTGCATCGGAGCTAGAGTTTATAAAATGTTGAAATAGAGGGGTGAGTCTAGCTACTTAATGATTAAGGTATACCTACCCTCTGGAGTTGTATATCAATTAATTCAAACACATAAAAATGAGTTCTTATAGGTATCAAATTACATATGACACAAGTTATAATTTCATAATTTAATTTATTTTCATATTTCTCATCTCAGTCATAGAGTATATTGCCACAAGACATACAGACATGTGACAATAACCCAATTCATTTGTTTCCTACTCATTGTCACAATATATACAATTATGTGATAATGGTACATTCACTATCATGACTTGCCAAAAACTTAACAATTATGTGACACGTCGAATAAATGCAAATGCATGATTAATTTCTTCTTATACCCTCCTTATATCATCTGACTGAAACTCTGGGTTATAATATCAATTAAGGCTCTATTTATGTAACTAAACTATCCAAGCTTACTAATTGTGAGATGTAACTTAGTCAAAGATCACAACACTCACTCAAAGACCATGGCTTCCCCCACTCTCGAATCTCTAGGGTGTCATGTAAGCTAACCTCCTTGACAAACAGGCAGAGATAGCTAAGTTTTAGTCTCTCGACAAACTATGGGACAGTTTCTCAACAAATAGTGAGATAAGGCTTAGCCTTCATGCATCGAAAGATATCCATAAATACCATATGGATTTTCTACTCCTCTCCCTAGGTGAACTACCGCTAAAAGATCATACAATCTATGATGCTCACTCATTTCGTAATTTCATTTACTTAGTATCAATACATTAGGCTTTATGGTATCATATTACCCAAGTAAACATCATGTTTATTTTCACAAGCTCTCTTTACTTCAATTTCCAATTTTATAACATGATTCACTTGCTCATTTAACCACACATATCATAATCACATATTAATGTAACCACATTATCATCACATTGCACATCAAGCAATTCTCATTCTAGCACATAGTATAGCTTTGAAAATCACTTTAGATTCAAATAAGATTTCATACAATATCATATGGCCTATGGCTACTTAAATAATTACAATTTCAATCAAGCATGCAAATAAACACATTTTTACTTTAAAACTCAATTAACAAACAATTACCCAAAGTAAGTTCCCCCAATTACCTCAAACTTATGAGAGATCAAAGGTTTACCCCTCAATGTCTCACTTCTAAGCTTGCTTTCCAATCTCAAAATGGTGCCCAAACGATTAATCCACAATTAATTAAGTCTAAACTTAATTAATATTATGAAAACAAATTTCCAACTCTCATTTTCCACTTTTAAAATATTTAATACCCTTATTTCTCATATTTAGGCTTACCCATTGGGTATATTAAATCACTTTAACTTTCAATAGCTTCGTTATACTCTCACATTGTCATTAATGGCTTAACAACCTTCTTAATTTCATATTTAATGCCCATTTTTGGACATAAATGGCATTCGCCAACCAACAAGCTTTAAAACCATTAATACTAGATTTAAATACTCTAAATAACTCCCATTAACTTTATTTTAGTAATGTGTTCAGACCCAAAACTCAAATGGTCCTAAAATTACTTTCCTTATTCAAATCCTAACTCAAATCTTAAAAAAAAAAAATAAAACAGAAAAGGATGAAAGAAGTGTAAGACACTTACCTTAGGTATTCTCTAACTTCAAAGTACTCCCAAACCTTTATGTTGTAAGTCCTAGCAAAGAAACCTCGAGTCTTTCATTTTCTCCTTCTCTTCCTCTCTAGTTTTTTTAACAGACAATAATCGATTTAAGCATAAATCTAACCACGCACTACACAAAGAGGTTCTCCCTCATTGCTTGCCTTCTGTGCGCCGCGGCAAAATGACACAAAGATTTCTTCTTTGGCTATTTTCACTTTTTAATGTTTGAGTGACCTAACTTTACTTCGAACCTATAATTAAAGTTGAAATCACAACCAAATACACTTATTAGATATCTCTGGCCACATGCCACATCAAATTACTTAATTATCATAATTAAGATTAGTTAATTAGGGTTGCATTTCCCTAGTATGTTACATTTAGCTTTGAACAAATCCAAATTTATAAAAAAAATTTATATATTCAAATGAGATATTTGTACAAAATTCAAATCCTCATCAATCTAAACGCAACATTAATGCTTTTGATCTCCCAATCCAATCATCTAGCAATTGAATTGGGAGATTCATGAATTCATGAATGTAATCCACCCAATTAATGGATTGTAAAATAAATTACAAAACGACAATTATAAAATCTCCCAACATAAATGTATTGCGTGTTCGGAATGCAAGTACAATTAGAGTTTACCTGTATATTATTTTTTATTTATCTTAAAACGAAATAGCTATGTAAAATATGAAAAATCACACAAATAAAATGCTTGATTATTTCCATATTTAAAAAAGCAATAAAAAAATATTTTAAAATTGAGATCCGTGAATTTATATAAAGTTTTTTTTTCTATTTTTCTATTCTATTACTTCTTATAAAACATAAAATTTTCTTCCTCTTTTTTAAAAAGACATTCTTCATGAAATTCATGAATTTTCAGATGATTCATCCCAAAACAATGAACTAAATCCAAACTCATTATGACACAAAAGTTAAAGTGGGCTTATAAAGGCCAGCCAAAACAACTTACATTCCACGCTCTCCCTACAAAATTCTCCATAGAACACCATCTTCAACCATCCTTCAAGTTCCCTACTCTTCACTCTCGTCTTCATTGAAAGAGTTTCTGAATTGGAACAGTTTCATTAAGACAAGTAGAGGGCTTTAGATGGAAAACGCTTACGTGCAGTCAAACAAGGGAGAAGATCAGATGAACTTGCCTCCTGGCTTTCGGTTTTACCCGACAGATGAAGAGCTAATCACTCATTACCTGTTCAAGAAGGTCACTCAAACCAACTTCTCTGCTATAGCCATTGGAGAAGTGGATATGCACAAGTCTGATCCTTGGGATTTGCCGTGTAAGTAAACTCATCTGAACCCATTCCATCTGATTCTCCTGAGAATTTGGATGCTTTGATCTGATCATATGCGTATTGTCTGTAGGGAAAGCGAAAATGGGCGAGGAAGAGTGGTATTTTTTCTGCTTGAGAGACAGAAAATACCAGACTGGTTTGAGAAGCAACAGAGCCACTGAAAAAGGGTACTGGAAGTCCACAGGGAAAGATGGGGAGATTTACATAGGAAGATGGCTGGTGGGGATGAAGAAAACTCTGGTTTTCTACAAAGGAAGAGCACCAAAGGGAGAAAAAACCAACTGGGTCATGCATGAATACAGGTTAGATGGAAAATTGTCTGTCCACAACTCCAACGGAACTGCAAAGGTACCAACTTTATAGTGCATATTAGGTATAGGAAAAAAAAATAGTTTTTTAGAATTCTATTTTTTTTCAAGACATATTTTTATTTTTTTCTTTCTAGAAATCATTTTTTTTTCTTACATGAGATATCCAATTATTTTCCCCTATTTACCAGGGTTCTCTTTAAATGTCCCAATTTCTTAATTATTTTTTTCTTAATTCTTTTGATTAAAAGAGAGACATTTTGATATCTTACAATAATAAAATGGTATAATTTTATAATTTTTAAGAAAATCCTAAAATTGTGCTATTTTAATTTATTTTCTTTAAAAAATATAAATGGTATAAAATATAAAAGATATATTTTATTTCATGTGAAATTTGACGAACAAAAAACGCAAAAGAAAAAACAAATAGTAAAGTCGAGAAAGTACTCCATGCCCTAGTTCGATGGCGTCAATTCTCTTTTTAACTGAGTTTGGTATGAATTTGCAGGAGGAGTGGGTTGTTTGCAGGGTGTTTCGGAAGACTTCAGGGGGCAAGAAGACCCACATTTCTGTTGTAAAGAGGTTGGAATGCATTGGAAATGGACTGGATTCTTCACTTTCACCACCTGTCTTTGGTTCTTCTCCTTATTACATTGGCTTAACTGAACCTCCGATGATGAGTGCTGATTCGGGACTCGTGCCCTGCTTCTCCACCCCATTTAATTATGAAAATGAGCAAGCAGGGATTCTTAATTCTCTAGGAAACCCAGAAATTCTGCCAACAATCCCTCTCCACGCCTCATTGTATTCTGCTGAACCATCCCTTCAAGTAGGTCCAGTGAATTTGTCTCTACCACTCTCTGCTTTTACTGTGCAGGAACGGTGCTTCCTTGATGCTGCTTTCATGAACCATAATGGATCGAGATTGAGAAATGGTTTTGTATCAGAGACGGAACAAATGGTGAGTGTCTCGCATGAAGCCAGTCTCACCACTGGCATGCATGAATCCGGAGATCTCTTCAGTGATATCAAGTTTTGATAATCAGCAAAACCCGTCTGCTTCTTCCGCAACAGCTGTGCACCTTTATAACATGTGGAATTACTAAGACCAGATCATAGGACATTACATGTATTTTCTCTGTTTCTTTCTTTATAATTAACCCAAAAAAGTAAATCCTTGCTAAATAAGTCCATCCCAAATATACATCCACCATGACTGAGGTAGTTATCACTTGTGACACACAAGTGTATACATATGCATGTAATGTAATGGGATATATATATATATATTCAAGCTATGAATGAAACAGGAAATAAATGTACTCATCAATTGTTTGGAACCTTGCTTTATATATTGCTTAATGTCATTTTTTCTCCTCACTAAAATGATAAAATGGGTATCGATTTTGATGGGAGGTGTTATAGTAACTTAAAAATTAAAAAGGTTTCGAATTCAAGTTTATATTAAAATAAAAAGAAAGAGAAAATAAATATCTTTCATTATTTTCCATCAATATCCATCTAAATTAAATATTTCAAGAGCGCTCTCACACACGTAGAAACTCTAAAATAATTAGATATAAATCTAGTTAAAAAGGAATAACGCTAATTGAATTATTGCATATTTGTATATATCTTGAAACGTTAAATATGAATGGAGACGGCCTAGTGTGAGAAAAAGTTTCATATTGGATAAAATTGATTTGGGAAGAGGATATATAAATGAAAAAAAAAATTCATAAATTTCTTTTCTTCCATTTCCTTCATATAACTGATTCTAAATCCTGGTGTCATTATTGGCGATGTTTTTCTTAAGGAGAAAAATGAAAATGCTGCTGGTAATTAAACAGCATTGCAGTATCCAATTCCATTATTTGTTAATTAATAATATATTAGGGAATATCACTTTCAATTTTTAATCCAAGAAACAAGACCCAAATTAGCTTAGATAAAACTTTACCTAACTAAATAATAATTGAGCCTTCAATTTGTGTCGATACCTGATTGAAACAAATAGCAAAATGATCATGAGGGCATCTTCCGCATGCATGCACTATAGAAAACAGTTTTAGTATAATTTTTTAATTTATTAGCTAATCAGTGCCCTATTAATCCTAAGCCCACATGCCCAATCAGAAGTTACTAAATCACCACTCAGTGGGATTCTTTGGGGTAACATCTAATTAAGAGGGACATGCAAGTTGTTTCATAGAATGTGGTTCTCTCTGTTTTTCATAATTGATTGCTATATATAAACATAGTTGTTCCAGATAACTTTTCGTTTAAGAATAAAATTTACACAGTAATAGTCATAAAGCCCTTTTCAACAATCGGTTTTAGGATTAATTAATTAATTAATTACTCGAAGGAAAAAAAATCTATCATCATGGAATTCTGACATTTTTTGTGACATTTTAATTTTGTAAATTAGCGTGCTTAATTAAATTTTATATCATTATAACTCTAAACTAAATTATATTCCCTCTCAATTTTTTTTTTTGGTTTTACCAGAGCCATCTCATTCTAAATCATTATTTTGCTCTTCTCACTCTACTCTCTTTGTTGAAGTACATAAATATTGAGTAGAGATTTATTCTGTTAATATATATGTTATCTATTACTCCCTCTATTAAAAAATGTAAACAATTTTTTAAGAGATTAGATGTTAAAAAATATAAGATATTTTTAGTCTTTTGAAATATAATCATTACCTTTTTTTAAGTATCTCTATTAAATAAATTATTTTATATTTATTTTAGAGTATTTATATGAGTAAATATGAAAAAATAGAATTAGGTTAAAAATAAGTAACTACTTTATTGGGGGTAAAATTTGGTTAAAAATATCATATATTTTTTAACAGAGGGAGTAAGATTTATTCTGTTGAGATTTAATTTAGAAAATATTTGATATTTATTAAATATTATTATAAAATTTATTAGTTATTATTAAATTTATCTATAAATTATAATTTTTTTCTCAATAAAATGTGACACTTTTTTTACGAAAAAAAAACCGACAATTTTTTCCAGTTCCCGTTTCAAATTCCTTTCATTTCAAACTATCGAAAGAAATTTATTTGTAAAACTTTTATCCATTAAAATTGTGTGAACCATCACAAACAAACAAATGACAATAAATCTTGAAAATTTAATTTATATTGTCATATTTATATGAATATTAATTAACAAGACATCTTCAATTAAAATAAAAGTCATCTAGAATTTAAAAACAATAATAAAAGTTAATTATTTTTTATTATTTTATATGGGATATGATCAATGTTTTCAGAACCGAACCGGACAATGAACCGAAAAAACCAACGATTCACGGTTCGTAGGGTTCAACCTGTAACATCCCAATTTAAATTTTAATAGTTAATTTGGATTAATAGAAATTTTAAAAAAAAATAATATTTAGAGGTAAGAAAATTAGTAGGAGATGATTATTAAATCTAACTTAGGATATAATTTAAAAAAAAAATTTAAAAAAATTTAAAAAAATAATTAAAAAAATAAAAAAAAATTATTAAATTATTATTATAATAAAAAAAGGGGAAAACGTATTAAAAAAAGGGGGAAAAGAAGAAGAAGAACAAATTGCTTTCAGCGTGCATGATTACATAAAATAATAAAAAAAAGGGGAGAGAGAGGAAAGAAGAAATAATATAAAAAAAATGTGGGACCCGCTGAATTTTTATAAAACTCACCCGTTTCCTTTCATTTCTTCAATTCTTTTCCTGCGCGCGAGCTGAGGCGGAGAGAAGCGAGTTGCCGGTGCGAAATATCTAAATTTTTAAGGTAAAAGTTTTTAATAGGATATTTAGGGTGTGATTTTAAGCTTTTCAAGACTAAGTAAGTGTTCTAAAAATTTTTTTTAGTCATCCTTCTTCTTTAGTTTCTGAGTTTGTAGTGATAGAAAATTTAAGATCTGGAAGAGGGATGAATTTATGTTGAATAAATATGATTCTTGAGGTTGTCAGTAGTATAATAAATATTCTAGAGTATAAATTTGTTGATGATCTTTGAATTTGTAGCTTATGGATCAAATTCTAAACTAGATCTGAAAATATATGTTGATTTATTGAGGTTTAGATGATTATTTGGGATGAGAAATGAATTATTATGGTTATAGGATTATGATTCTAAGCTAGAGACTCAATTTTTAATTTTTGGGTATTTTAGGTACGAATTTACGAAATAAAAAGAAAATTTTGATAATAGAAATTAGTTTAAAATTTGATTTTTAGATTATTAATGTTTATTGATGAGTAAAAGAGGAGTTAAAAATTTTACTTAATAGTATTAACTCTAGATTTATATTAAGATTGAGATTAGGAATTATGTTACATTTTTAATTTTATTATTAGAATTATTTTATTAGTTTCAAAAATTGAAACTAATATTTATAAATAATATGTTATTTGTAGATTGTATTATTGGTGAAGATTGTGGTGAGAGAGAAATTTTAAGGAATAATTTATTGAAAAAGCCACAAGGTAACCATGCTTTTAATTTGTGATTAGTATTATTTCATGTTAATTGGGTGATTATTGAGAAAATTATGAATTTTGTAATATTGTATAATTGTACAATATTATTATGAATTTGTTTGATTATTGTGGGAGGTGTTGGGAGACTTGCTATTGTTGTTGTATTTATGTGCCATGTGGTACGCCCCTATTGGAGCTCAATAGGTGGCTTGTAAGGGCTCGGGCTAATATACTTTTAGCCGGATAATTTAGCACCGAGTGAAGGTTACGGCTCGAGGTTAATGGAGGGATATAAGGATGGTTGTTTGTGTGTATTGTAATATTTCTTATATTTGTTGGAATTATATTATTTTTAATTTTCACTTAATAAGTAAACACTTAACTGTTTGTATACACTATCATAAATTGGCTTTGGTTACTGGGACTTTTGAGCCTCATTATGTGGTTAACAATTTTCAGGAGAAGAGCCATGAGTGACACGTGGAGGAGTCCTAGAGGTTTAGTGGTATAGATCCACTGTCTCTTTTGGGTATTTAATTTATGATTTATAATGTGTTATATTGCCAATATTAGGGCTTTTTGTTTATTGTCAATTATATAAATATATAAATATAATCATGCCTTTCAAACTATTTCTATTTTTGGTACAATTTGGATGACTGTAATTTTAATATTTAGTTTACTTTGGATTAGTTAAAATGGCATGATTATAAGACCAAATAACTGGCTTGTGTTGAAAATTTATTAAATTGCTTATTTTACTTGTTAGGAGTATAAGGATGGACAAATGTAATTTAGTTTACTTGTTATGAGTATAAGGATGGACAAATGTGATTTAGCCTAATGGCATGTGGGAGGTAAAAATTTATCTGAAATGTTATAGTGTGTGAGTTGAAGCTAATTATAAAATATTTTATATTAAAATTATTGATATAAAAATGTATTGGGTAGCTGTAACCTAACTATGGTTGAGTTAAATTATTTAAAAAAAAATTTGATGTGTTACACAACCGGTTGGACCATTGACGTAATAATTAAATTAAAAAAAATTATATATGTATATAATAATTTAAATATAAGAAATACATATAAAATTACTATTTAACTTAAAAAAATCAAATATTTTAAGTTTATCATGACTTAACAAGCCATATGATACAATATAATATCAAATTATTAAAAAAATTAGTTATTTTTTTAAAAAAATTTGATAAAAAATAAAAAAGTTTTTTGTTTGAACAGTCCAATTTTTAAAAACCGGATCCAGTTCCCGGCTTGATTCCGGTTCCTGGTCCGACCGCCGGTTCGAAACGGCTCAAACCGGTTCAACTCTTAAAAGGTTTTTTCATTTGAACCAGACTGGTCGACGGTCTGACCGGCTGGTTCGGTTTGGTTTTCAAAACAATGGATATGATATTACAATTTGAAGATTATTGGGTTCAATTAAAACTAACATTTTCAACATAATTTTTCATTTTCAATGCATGAACTATTAGATCCTATTTGGTTACTAGAAAAGAAAGGAATGGAATGGATTAAAAAAATCAAGATAAAAATAAACTAAATTAACATTCCCTCCATAATAAATATAATAAAACTCATTAATATATACTATAAATATAGAAATTGTTATGCTTTCTAAAAATCTCATGAATCATAATTCACAATCTTGTAAATTAAATTACTTTCTCCTTTTTACAAATATACTCACCTATCCTATTTGATTATTTTATTTTTACCTTTATTTTTTTTAACCAATTTTATTCCATTCCTTTTTAATAAGCAAACAGACTTTAATCTTGCTTAAGGAAAATGAAGTACTTTCCATATATACAACCCAACTTAATAATATTTAATGTTGACATCAGGGGAACAAATTATATATGTACTAAAACTCAAATGGCACAAACATGAGTAGTTATGGCCAAATAACTTGATGCTTAAGAGAGATACTATTAAGAGCATGATTGGGCCAAAAAGCATAGAAAACTGATTGAACATGAACTAGTACAAAATATGAAATTTACATATTACTTTTTACATCAGTTGGAAGTCAAATAATATAAAAAGTTAAGGTGGTAATATTTTTGTAATTATATTAAAGCATGTGACACTTTCTACATTGAGTAGACCTCCACCTGGTGTAGAAACTCCACTTTCTACACCAGGTGAAGTCACACGATGTAGAAAACTAATTAAACAGGCTAGTACATTACAATGTATAAAGTGCAGACAAAATACATTAAACAAACTTATATGTCACAACCTATTCATGTGCATTAAAAAAATTTATAATCTAATCACGCATAATATGGTGGGATAGAGCCTGATTAATTAATCTTACATATAAGCTAAGCTTCCTCTGATGTGTTTTAAATATACGCTAGCTTCTTATGGTGGGATCCATATGTAGCATACACCTCCATTCGCTGTCTTAACTTGTATTTGTTAGTAAATTAAATCAGTGATGAAAACTGATGATGCTATATGAAACCTAATATTTTGACCTCTTTTATTATGAGGAAAACTATTGGGTTGGGTGCATCTGAAAAATCATTTGGATGAATTGAAGCATTATCTTCGAATCATTTTGCGGTCTATTTCATCCAAATTATTATGTATAGGGAGTTTAATTTTGTTAGAAAGAGTTCATATTTATCACTTACAATATATCACCAAACATATGATAGTACAATACTATCCTATATAATTAATAGCTTATACAGCTTCACCTGAGATATTGCATATGTAGTATGGCAATTTTTCTTTAAATTTCTCACTAGCACTTATTATATACAGTGTGTCAAAAATGTCCTTATATTACCTTTCTTTAAATCTCCCCCCCTCTCCCTTGTATATATCTTTTTGTATACAGACAGTTCTTATTAGACCTTATTTCTAAGATCAATTCTTATTGTGCATATATTCATTCAAGATAGATTGTTGTTCTATTTAAAAAAAATTGGAAATTAATAAAAAATGAACTAATAGTTTAATCTTGACTGATTTTATTTTTACAAATTAACTATATATATATACATATTATTAACTAAATTAAATTTCAACTTGCCAATTTTCGGATCATATATTTATCTGTTAAAATGTCTAAGTGTGTGATTGAATTTGAGTTGATGTTAGAAGTCCCCTATCAAGTAGAATTAGATTTAATAAGCAATATGCTCAACAAAAAATTAATAACTAATATATAATACAATTTAAAATATATATAAACTTGAATATTGAAAATGTCATGTTCTCGGTCATTTAATTTGTTTTCTTCATGAGCGAGTAATAAACTTTTAAAAAATAAAGAATCAGAAGATGCAAAGTTGTTCACATAGTTGCTATATATGCCAGCCAATATAGCTTACGGAAAAACGAAAAAACAAAAAAATGCCTATTATTTTCCAAATTGTTCACCTAACCACCTTCATTAATAAGTGCAATCCCAACATTTCTTGCTCATCCACATTCTTTTCTTTTTTTTCTTTTCTTTTTATGTAGAATAAGAATGAAAGAAGAAATTATTTTGATGACACACACACACACTCTTGCTTAATATAAAAAAATAAAATATTATCATGTTGAATAACAATAACATGAGCCATTCTGTTTTATTAATTATGACATATGTTTTGCCAAACCCTATAATTATAATGAATTAAGTTTATAAAGCCATTCTGTTTTAACTTGGCAAAACAAAAAATCTTATGTATACACACACGCATCTGCACATGGTTAAGATATATTAAGGATGTGTTCGGATATAGTATAGTTTCTTTCCATTTAAAAAGTACTTTTAATATATCATCTAAACACCCAATAGTATTTCAGTATTTATTTTGTCTATATGAGATTTGAAATCCAGCTGACAGTCTATTTGGCAAACACAACTTTTTGTTAACTCTTAACTTTTGGACTGTGGATTAGAAGCTAATTTCAATCTATTCTTATATTATCCAAACAATTTTTAATTACTAATTTGATTTTCAAAAAAATATATTCAAATATAAATAAATTTTTAATAAATGAACCTTTAACAAATTAATTTTTGGTAAGTGAACTTTTACCAAAATAAAAATCAAACATACGCTAGTTCAACGAGTAGAACGTGAGAGGACACACTTTTCGACCCCTGTGAAATAAAAAGAAAATGGAAATTTAAACTCGTAATGACCCAAAAGTTGAAGTGGGTTATAAACGACGACAACCAGGTTACCTTACATTCCACGTTTCTTTCTCCCCTAACTCCTCCATTTAGGGGTCTCCTTTTGCACTCTGCTCATTTCTCCCCATCACCACCATCTCCATCCATCCTTCACGTTCTCAACTTTTCACCCTCATGTCTGCCCTCCTTTCTCTCTCCGAGATTACCAGATTCTGCACATAAATCTGGGAAAAGGCTTTGTGAATTGAAGCTGTTTTCTTAACGAGGAAAGGAAGATTGAATGGATTTGCCTCCTGGCTTTCGGTTTCACCCAACAGATGAAGAGCTAATCACTCATTATCTGTTCAAGAAGGTCACTCATACAAACTTCTCTGCTAGTGCCATTGGAGAAGTGGATTTGAACAGGTCTGAGCCTTGGGATTTGCCATGTAAGTAATTAAACTGATCAAAACCTATTAAATCCGATACTCTTCAGGAAGTTGGATGGTTTTGATTTTATTTGAGTTTTTTCTTTTCCTTGAAGGGAAAGCGAAAATGGGGGAGAAAGAGTGGTATTTTTTCTGCGTGAGAGACAGAAAATACCCAACTGGTTTGAGAACTAACAGGGCCACTGAAGCTGGGTACTGGAAAGCCACAGGGAAAGATAGGGAGATTTACAGAGGAAAATCGCTGGTAGGGATGAGGAAAACTCTGGTTTTCTACAAAGGAAGAGCACCAAAGGGAGAAAAAACCAACTGGGTCATGCATGAATACAGGTTAGATGGTAAATTCTCTGTCCACAACCTTCCCAAAACTGCAAAGGTACGAACTTGACTTTCCCTGTCTACTTATTACTGCAAGTTCGACTCAATTCTCTCTCTCTCTCTTTTACTGATTTGGGTATGATTTTGCAGAACGAGTGGGTTATTTGCAGGGTGTTTCGGAAGAATTCTGGTGGCAAGAAAACCCATTTGTCGGCTATAATGAGGTTTGAATCCACTGGAAATGGACTGAGTTCTTCGGTTTTACCACCTCTTGCAGATTCTTCTTGCATTGGTAAAACTGAACCCAAGATGACTGAATCATCATACGTGTCCTGCTTCTCCATTGTAATCGATGATCAAAGAAACCAAGGAGGGATCTTTAATTCCTCAGAAAACCCCCTTTTGGGGATTCCTTCAAATCCTCCAGAAATTCTGCCAGCAATCCCCCTTTCTGGATCATTCTATTCTGCTCATCCCCTTCAAGCTCCTGCAAATTTGCCAATATCAGGTCTTGCTCTCTCTGATAGGCAGGACCAGAACCTCCTTAAGGCTTTTCTTGATTTTGACTCCGAGGGACGACAGATGATCAGTGTTTCACAAGAAACAGGTCTCACCACTGATATGAATCCTGACATTCCTTCTGTGATGCCAAGTTTTGATATGGGCAGGAGGGTTTTTGAGAATCAGCGAAACCTTTCTGCTCCTGCTGCTGCACCACTGGACCGTGATAGCTTGTGGAATAACTAAGACTGTTCTGAACTCAGATGAAAAGGCTGTGGTAGGGAATTGATGTCATAGTTTATTTGCATACTGTAGTTTTTAATGAAGCATATGTATGCGATGTATTGTGTACTGTAAGAACTCGTGAACTTCTAAAGCTGTTTTTGTATTTGAATACTTCAGGCTAATGGGCTATGTTGCGTGAATGTTATGTGCTAGACTTGTTAGTCAGCACCAACTATTTTCCTGATTCTATTCCATTTGTACAGTCAAGCGGATGTCGGGAACCTTACTTTGATTGATTCTGGTAATAATTATAGCATATCTGATTTCAAATTGTGGGGACTCAACTGCATCTCACTTTGAAAAACTCTCCCTCCCTCCCTCCCTCCCTATTTGTGTTTTCTTCTTAAAAAAGTACAGCACATGAATTCAGGCTTTTCAATTCCTCTAGAAGCTGCTTTCGTCCATCATTGTCTGCACATAGCAGGTCCGTCATGAAGGAAGAGGAGCGCGAGAAAAATTAACATATATTGCCACAGCATAACATAAATTCGAATTTAAAATAAAAAATAATAATCAACATGACCATCTTGGGATGGACTGATACTAATGGATGAACATTTTAGGATGTACCTCACCTCGTTGTAAAGCTGGTGATAAAAACTAACAGTTGTCACTCCATTTCGTTGGTTCAATGGAGCATTTATGATTTACACAGCGTGAAGGTTGAAGGAGGAGTGTGTTATATAACAATGTTGGATTGGAATAGCAACAAATATTATTCTTAGTGAAAGAGTTCTAGGTTGTGTATGGATGTAAAAAAGTCTTTAAAAGAGTTATCTCTAATTAAGACCCAATTTAACTCTGTTAAAATTTACTAATTTATCCTTGATGAGAATTGGGTCATTATGTCAGATCAATCAGTGTATAATTGACATAGTAGAGATTAATGATAGTTGAACAGAAATTAATTGATTAATTCTTGATTGATTCTAAAATAGAAAGTCTTCCCTCACATTCATTGTAAATATTCCATTATATTAATTTCTTCTCTTTTGCGATGAATTATGATGATTGGAATTTTTTTTTATGGCAGCCTCCCACATTATGGATAGAGTTAAGTGGTTGAAAGAATAACTTGTGAGCACCTTTTTTTAATGTCCTAGTGTGAATAGTCAGGTAAACTTTATAACACTAGTATCTGGTAAAACTTTGATCTTACTCCATTTTTAATTAGTATTTTATTTAAAATATTCCTTCAAACTCGAATTTAAGTTAATTAATTTTGACTTATACATATAAGAAGGTTTAATTCAAAAAATAAAAAAATATTGGACCATAACCGCACTCTAGAGGTGTAGGAAAAATCATCAAGGGTAAGAGAAAAAATGAGAAGACAAGAATATAAATTGGAAAGGTTTGATGCATTTGATATTCGTAGTTTGATTAGTTGGGTTTTGCTAGATAAGGAAAGTGAAGGTGGGTTTGTGTGCAAGTGGAGGTATGATGCACTGTGATGAATGATTCGGGTTGAATTTGTCAAATGGATTATTTTATTCATTCAATCCCCATTGGCGTTCCGTTTTGTGATGATGAGGCAGCGAAGCATCATCCTCTCTTCTCATCTTACTTTGTCTAAAATTACATTATTAGTTTATTACGTCTCCCCTCTTCTTTTGTCCCGTGTGCTGTTATTATTTATTCCACGTGATAATTAAGCCCCTTCCCTCACTCTCTCTCCCTTAAAAGTCCACTAATCTGTCCACGCCTTAATCCTTAATAATATCAACTAACAAGAGAACAAGACCACCCCATTTGTTTTATTTTTATTTTTATTTTGTTCATCCTAATCTTTCGTTCGTTTTGACGCCAAATAATCCTTCAAATAGGAACAAAATCTTTCTTCGAAAATAGGTGTGTTTTCATTTTAAAAAAAACCGGATCCTTATATCATCAATAATTTTTTTTGCTTATTGATCCCTCCCACAAGTGTACAAGATCATAGTAATAAATTATTTAAAATATTTCAAGTGTTGAACTCAAGTGAAAGTTTCACTTTTACTAATTTAAATGATTAATAGTTCAAAAAAATAGATAAAATAAATTATTTAATGAGAATATAAATAATAAAAATGGAGCAAGAAAATAATCATGAAGAAAACACGATCACTTGAAGCGTTATAAGTTAGGATTCACTCTATAGATTATTAATTTATACCTTTTGAGTTAACTCTTTAATCAATTATAGTGACAAATATTCCTAAAATATTTTAATATTTTTTTGAATTATTGGTCCTTTTTTAATTAACATTGAATTTTTTCCCATGATATCCAAATAATTAATGAAACTGTGCAGATATAGTTTAAGTCACCACAAATTTCTAAAAATATTTCTAACCTAGTTATTTATGTTTATTTCTCTATATCCATGTTCTCTCTTCATCTCCTAATCCATCAAAATTATTTATAGATTTGATTAAATGGTGGTAAATCATAAAATTAATATGAAGAACAAAAAAAATAAGTATAATTGAAAAAAAAATATAAATATAAAAGTAAAGAGTCAAAACAAAATAAATAAAAAGCTAACTCATTAATTGAGCTACATCACTACCCCAATTAAATAATTTAAAAATACATAATTAAATCAAATAATACCATTTTAAAAAAAATAAAAATAAAAAATAAATAATTATAATTTATAGAATTCGTCCACAATCTCACATTCATAATCTATGGGTTACAAGACTCCTCTTTTTATTCATGATTTATATGAGATTCTAATATATATCCCATTCACGTCTCTTTCATTTTCTTTGAATATCACATCCGCCTCTCTCAAGATTTTCCGTTCTTCATCAAAGCGTGTGAAAGAGAATCGAGTCACTTCCTTCCTCTTATATATATATATATATATATATATTCTTTTCTTTCTTTTATTCTATTTGGCTTAATTTTTTTTAGCAAAATATAAAAATAAAAATATATTAGTAGATTTTATAGTACAAGTTCTTCTTTATTCTATAATTAAGTTATGGGAGAAAAATATATAAATATTAATTAAATAAGCATAAAATATTAATAAATTTAATCAAATTTAAACCTATTTAACTATCTAATATGCACTTATCACTAATGGCACAAAGAAATAAAGAAGATGCCAAATTTCTCTGTGCCTCCTTTGCCTTTAGAAGTTTTTTTTTTTTTTTTGAGGATATAATTCTTCGCCGTTAGAACAATGTGCCTCCTTTGATTGCTTCCTTGTGGCATAGAGCCTTGTTGTAATGCAGCAACACAAAGCAACTAGGCACTTATGACATGGGGTGTGTTTTTAATTGTTGAAGCCATTAATGCAGCGGAGAATCCATTGATGGAGAATTTATATTTTTTTCAATTAAAAAATTTGAATTACATTAGAAAACAGAAAAATTTTGTAGGATATTAAAATGGTTTCAAACTTCTAACAGTTTTTTTTTGTAGATGTAAAATATGTGACCTAAAATTGTTAAAAATTCCGACCCAAAAGTTCACCGCACACATCTCATCGCTTATAATTGATGCATGGTGTAAAGTGATGTAGGCCAGGAGAGAATCCTATTCGTTGAACGAATATTAAATAAATTTAAATTAATTAGAAGATGCCAAAAGTTTTGACATTTTTCAATGAATATGAAATCGATCACCTGAAACTTACGTAGACTGGTCCCCCACCACTCCCACTGGCCACTTGTGTCCCTCATCTCATCGCTTGAGCTGAATGAAAATGAACTTTTATGGGTGGGCTCCTCAGACGCTGATGTCATATATAGGATACTGTTCATTCTCTCTAAATTATAATATAGACCATTAGTAACTAGGTTCTTACAAATATTAATTAACATCCTAAATTCTTAAAAAAAATATATATATACTCTCTCTCTTAAAAAATATAAAATTTTTTTAAAGAGTTGAATATTTAAAAATATAAAATATTTTTAATTTTTTAAGGTGTTATTTTTTTTAAAAGTGCTTCTATTGATAATAACTTTATATTTATTGTAGGATATTTAATAGAGATAAATACAAAAATATAAGGTTAGTTGAAAAGTAGGTAACTACTTTATTGGAAGGTGAGATTCATTTAAAAATATCTTACATTTTTTTCTAATTATAATTTATAAAATATCTTATATAAGTGCATTAATAATGATAGTTTAACTTTCAATGCATCATTTAAAAAAAGAATAATTAATAAAGTAGATGCATAGTTAAAAAATAATTATAAAAACTATGAAATGTCATATATTTTAAACTAAACAAAGCTTTTAAAATATGTCATATTGTAACTCAGGAGTATTTATTTATTTCTTATGCTTCATATTATGAGAGGGAAGAGAAGATCATTTTTTTTGGGTACAAATAAAGTTGCATATACATAAAAATTTGAATTTAAATTTGAACTAATTTTTTTATTTAGATACATAAAAGTATATAGATTTTTATTTGACCTAAATTCAAAATTATATCTTATTATAATTTTTTTATAATTTCAAAACCTTCTAGGTCTTAATTATTTAAAATTTTTGCTTCTTCAACTCTCTGTATTTTTTTTTTAAATGTTTTCATTGTTAAGTCTTTGTCACCCTTACCTCTCTTCTCATCTATTGAAAAATAGAACTAAGTTTGTCACTTTTAATTTTTCATTTATATTTTGAATATCATTTCATATTTTTTCTACCTTTAAAATTTTTTACATTATTAAAATAAAGAATTTTATGTATATGGATTTAAAATGTGAGATTTAAATTCATCAATTCAAATATTAATGTATGTATAAGTGTTAAAATTTTTGTATAAAGGGTGTGTTTAAATCACCTTGTTAATACAAGCTTTATTGATAAATAGTTAATAGTTAAATACTCTGCCTAGTCCTACTTATAAGATGGTTTCATCATGTTTAATTATTGGAATGGGATAAAGGAAAATATTTAATCTTTAAATCTCCCTTTAAAAATTTATTAAGTTTTCAATTTTACCTATAGTAAATATACATATTCTAATAATATAATTTCCAACATTTAATGAGAAGTAAAAGAACTTGTGATAAAAAAAATCAATAATATGCCTTATAAATAGATAAAAAAATATATATTTCTCCTTTTGCTTTATAATCCCTTCAGTCTTTAATATAAGATGAAGTTTTAAAACTTTTTTTGGTCCCAAATATAACATGAAATTAGAGTAATTAATTATTTTTTCAAATTTGATGCCTTGTTTAGTTTTTATCATTT